CTGGGGGCGGCGCCCAACCAGCAGCGGCCTGGCACACGCACCGGGGGCTGCCAGGGCCTCGGGTTTGAGGACCACAGCACTGCAGGCAGGGGACGCGGCCCAGGTTTTTCTTCTAACAAGTTCCAGGTGCGGACGCCGTGTGGCTCCTGGGGCTGCCCCTCAGGGCTCCATGGCACCTGTCCAGCGGCCACCACAGCACGGAGTCCGTTCTAAGCCGAGGGCCTGCGCGTCTCCGGCCAGACGGGAGTCACCGGCATGCACCACCCCGCGTCACCCCCGGGGCGCCCAGTGCCCAGCAGGTGATGCGTCGCCCTCTTAGCCGGGCCGCCCTCCCGCGCCCAAGGCCTTGCCCCACCCGCCCTCTCCCGTACGGCTTTTCCCACGTGCTCTGACCTGTAGAAGTCCGCGTGCCATGGGTAACAGTTAGGTGGCACTGCTTTTCCAAAAAAAAAAAAAAAAGAAAGCGAAACCATCGACATCCGAGTCACACCTATTGCGTGGCTGACGTGAGGGTAGTGCTTCTGTTGTTTTGGTCAAACAAGGGAAGGTGCCTGCTTGTTGCTCAGGGATCTGTGAGCAAAGGAAGTAGCTCTGTGAATGGGGAAGTCTTGGGGGTCTAAGACTGAGAATTTCCAGCCGCGTATTAGGCCAGAGGGAAATCGCAGTGGCAGGTGTCTGGTGTGCAGAGTAGCTGTCAGGGGGCTCGTCCGCGAGCTCGGGCCCTTAGGGAAGCCCCGGCCCCCAGCCCTTCTTGCTCACTCCATCCCCACTCTCGCTTCACGCCAAGCCTCCCAAGCCATGCCGCTTCCCAGCTCGCGGGTGCGGTGTGCGGAGGAGACAGGCGCCGGTCGCAGTGAAAACGGCAATTAGGAGGGAAGGCTGTCGGAATATCAACAAGCAGCTGCCGGGAATGGAACGCCGCGGCCCGGCCCCAGTGCAGGGCAGCACCCCTGGACGCCACCGGCAGGCCACGCGCTTTCTCTCAATTTCAGCTCAGTGCATTCCTTTATGCACCCAACTGGGGCACGTCCTCTTCCCAAAAGATGAAATTAGGATCCGTGTCTACGTTGAGTAAGAAAAAATGGAAAGCATTTAAAAATCCAAGACAAAGAAGTTAAAGGGACGTGCACGGAAGCACTGAGGTAAGGACCTCAGGGAGAAAACCTCCGCGTCGGGAGCGAGATGAGCTCCGTGCGCAGGGGCAGCCAGCTCCTGCCTGGCCCGAGACCGACGCGTCCGCTGCGCTGGAACCAGGGCGGCCGGCGGGGAGCCTCTCGGCCAGGCACGGCGCACAGCTCCCAGACAGAGCCACACGCAGACCCTCACCCCCGACCCACAGAGCCGCCCTGGCTCCAGACCCTGACTATCATGTCTTCTAATTCCGATCACTTGTGGGGAAAAAAAAAACCCATGACATGTGCAAGTTGGTTGGTGGAACTTCCAAGTTCCTCGTTGCGGCTGAGTGGTGTGACACCCTCGGTCAACTGCTCCCAGGTCTCACACGGGCGTCCACCCTGGCCTCGGCATCCGTGGGCCCGTGTGGTCAGAGCCTGGAGCAGCCTCGGCGGCCTGGAGGACACCGTTCACTGCCGAGCCTCTGCAGCCTGAGGTGGAAACCGCGAATCTGCAACCGCCCGCTCAGAAACACATCCTTTCAGGCAGCCACTCATTCATTAAAAAGGCGCTTCCCAGCACAGCAGTGGCCCTTGGAAGAAGTCTTCCCAGGATCCTCACAGCCATCTGGTGAGAGGAAAGGAACCTCAGGCACTGGGCTGCCTTTGTAAGCAGTTTCACACATGTTACATTTTCGGAGGGGCCCCATTTCCTCCTCCATCCTGCATAGCTGCAGAGAAAATCCACAGACCTTCTGAAGGTGAGAGTCCCACCCACTAGTAACAAAGTCTCACTTCATAGTGAGTTGGCCTTTCTCTGGAGGTGTTCCAACTGCATTATAAACATTCTTTCACGGCACGAGACAGGTGGGTGGTAATTATTATTCTGCCTGACAAGAGGTAGAATTGAGACTCTCAGCCATACAGATCTGAAAGGTTTTTTAAATGCCCAGGGAAGAGCAAAAACAAGGTTTTAAAAATAAGAGATAGGAAGGATGTGACCAAAAATAGGAATAAGAACAGTATATAAAATACCAAAAAAGGAGAATTCTCCTATAATCAGCTCACAGCAACAGCTTCGTAGAAGCAGCCACTTGCCCTGCCTCTCTCTCTCTCTCCGCCTCTCTCCCTCTGATCTTTGCCAGTAAATAGGATGAACAGCCCCAACCCCATGAAGAACAAGCTGACACTAAAGCAACACACGTGGACTCATGCGATGATCATTAAGGAGTCCGCATAGCGTAATGACACTCACATGTCACCTGTGGGGCTGTGTTTTACTTTACCAAAAAACGTTCCACTTTACTCCTTCCACTTTGACGGTGGCCTCAGGTGGCCCTGCCAGGCGGGCACGGCTGTTTCCTTCTCGCTTTAAGGGCGCCCCAGGCAACGGGGCACCCTGCGGCCAGTGTGCATCCCCGCCCCGGGGGCTGCCCCTTCCGCTCAGTCCTCTCCCTCAAGAGGCTTCAACAGCACAGCGGAGCGAGCACAGGCTGGGAGTGTGAGGACCCAGGTTGGACTCCCCACTCCATCCCTTGCAAGCTAGGGACTCGGTAAGAGGAAGGTCGTACACCCTGCAGAGCTGTCAGGAGGATGGACCACGCCAGCCAGCGGAGCCAGCACTTCCCGCGTGGCGCCCCCAACCCGCTGGCCGCAGGGCCTCTGAGCGCTCCCAGGCACAGACCCTTTACAGCTGGGAAGACCCGGGGGCGGGGGGCCGCTGAATGAAGACAGTGGCTTGGGGAGGGGACAGACCTGGCCTCCCGCATTGCCGCCTGCTGGGCCCTCCGGTGTCCCCTCCTAGGATCCCTTTCCCTGCTTCGTGTGGCCGGGTGCTATCTGCCTGTTCCCCCGCTCCATTCACCAGAGCCCGTCCTTCGGGAGCTGCGGGAAGGCGGTGTGCGGGGGCGGCGCTTTTCCGGCCTCACACGTGGGGTGGCTGCCTGGACCCTGGCGCTGGGCTGGCTGGGTGGTGAGCCCGGGGCAGGGCCCTGCTCGCGCGGGTCGGGCCTCACTCCGGGCCTTCACATTTCCAGAGTTCCTGTCGCCAAGTGCGAGGCCACTGCGCTCTTAGTCCTACGTGCTTCTGGGAAGCGTTTAGGGTCCTTTACCATTTTCCAGGGAGACGCCTGGGGCGGGTCCTCTCTCTTCCTGTGCCGGATGCGCGCAAATCCTTCAGTGTGAGAAACTGCCCCGTGGTGCCCACAAAGTCCTCCTCTGTTCCAGTCTCTCTTTCTGAAATGCCTGTCATTTGGGTACTGAACCTGGAGGACTAACCCTTGTTTAGTCTTTTATCCATCTCCTGCTTTTTTGTCTTTTTGACCTATTTTTCGAGAATTCTACTCCAACCCTTCTCACAGGATTTTCCGTTTTCCGTTTTCTTACATGAATGGTCTCCCCACCCCGTTCTAATGACAAGCTACACCCCCTCCTTCCCTTTCAGATGCAATGTCTACTCCGACATCTCTGAGGGATTAAATATGGTTTCTTTAGAAGTCTTCTTCTGTTCTCTCCTTGTCTCCATTTCCTTTTTCGTTTGTCTGCTTGGGTCTCTTTAGCTCTGGAGGCTACGCATTCACGTTTAAGAGTCAGGCACCAGGGAGCGGCTGGCCGCTCTGGGTGCGCACATCTGCCTGACTTTGTCACTAGAAGTCCCCCATGTCAGCATCCACAGTGCTTTTCCTGGGACCATTTGGTTTCTCCAGCTCAGAGAAAGCAAGGGAAAAAAAAAGCTCCAGTCGGACTCAGTGGGGAGACCCGAACCAGCACGCCTGCCCGTGTGCAGGGCGCAGGGCCGAACGGGGCCGGGATACACAGGCGGCGAACGTGATAAAGGCCCCGAGAGATTTCAATTTAAGCCAAGTTTTAAAAAAAAACCAAAAACTTAAGCACAGCAACAACTTTCTTTTTTTTTTTTTTTTAACCACCTCCAGCTGGGATACTTTACAAGTGGAGATGGGGAGCCAGAGCGATGGTTCTCCCGCGTGCCCTGCCAGGGCCAGGCTTGCAAGCCCGCCCCCATCACCGCTTCGAGGAAAAGGACCTATTTTTTCACTTGTTAGGAGCTTGCTGACGAGAGCGATGAAAAAGGCTCTGTGGTCTGCGACCAGCATGGACAGCATCATTGAGTTCTTGACTGGTCTGGTGGCCTGTGACCTCTGGGAGAAGCCGGGGAGGGGAACTGCCAACGCTGCCCCTGGTGGAAGAAGCAACCCGGCGGTCCCAGGCGCCCCCGCAGGCTGGGCGGGCGTGGGGGCGGGGCAAAGGCAGGCGGCAGTGACAGGGACCGGCAGGTCGGGGCTGCCAGAGAGAGCGCCGTCCCCAGCCACCTCCCGCGGCCAGAAGCACCGCACCCGGCTTCGTGCTTCCAAGCGCCCTCAGAAGGGAGACCTTTTTTCATGCTCTGCGTGTGGGAGAAGAAAGGGCTTAAAATATTCATGGCAATTCCTGTGCTTTGATGCTAGGTTACCTTGCTGCGTAAGACAGGGCTGGAACATGTTTATTAAATATTTTAAGTTTCAACGCCGACTGTAATTACCAGGAACAGACTATGCTGCGCCATTTAAAAACTATTAGAAACGGAAGGCAGAGGGCCCTTAAGAAGATGAACGTGTTTATCCATTTCGCCCCACAGCTGCACATACTGAAGAGGCCAAACTGGACTTCCAGAGGCTTGTTCACTATTACCGTTCTAAAGCAGATTCCAAAGGGACCTCACGTACACAGAAAATACAGTTCCTTTCTGGACCACATGAGCTATGAGATCCATTCCTCGTTCAGAAAACAAACCTTAAACACCCTCTTCCGAGCTGCACCTCTCCCACCAAGGTAACAACCGCAGGGCTTCCCGCGTCGCCGGGGCGGCCGGCCGCCACGGAGGACACTCACCAGGTTTTTGAAAAGCGCCGTCAACTCCTTGGTGAACACGGAGAACTTGAGGAACGCGCTCCCCAGGTCCGGGTCGTCCCTGCACACGCAGTTGCCGCCGATCTTCTCCAGCGCCTGGGTGTACTGCTCCTCGTTCTCCACGTGAGCTGCGGGGAACGCGAGACGCATTAACACACTGGCCGTGCCGCTCCCTGCTCCCTTCTCGCTGCAGATAAGACTGGACACGTGAGCAGACTATCGGAGAAGGGTCAGGGTGTGCCAGGGGCAGAAGTGGCGTTGCTGTCATCGCAAGGGCCCGCCATGCCGGCAACAGGTCCCCACGCCTGAGCACAACGAGCAGAAGGGAAGGAGGGAGCCCCCGAGGCTGCAGCTCCACGGAGGAGACCACGGAGGCCGCCCCACGCCTTCCACGTCTCCGAGGACTCCTCCTGCACCCCAGCAGGGTCACCTGTCCAGCCGCCTCCGCGAGAGAGGGCGGCTTACGTCTAGCGTGAAACTCATGCCTCTAAGGCAGAGTCACGCGCCACTACACCTCCTTCCGACACAGCAGAGCCTGGCCCTCGGGGCACGGGCCGGGGCAGCAAAGGCACGCGAGCGGCTCCGGGGCTCGGCTCAGGGGGCGTCTCGCACCCCAGGCCCCACCTTCCCTGTGAGGCTGGGGCACCTCCCTGTCCTCGCACTGGGCACGTTGCCTGGTACGTGTGTTCTTAACACGTAAGGGGGACAGGGGCTAGGTTTTATTCACCTTTGTGCCTGAACTAAAAGCACACCCGTTGTTTGCAAACAAAAACCGAGCCCTGGCACCGATCCGACGGCATTTCACTGTCATTCGGCCTCAGAGCCGCGCCTCACAGAGCGGCCGTCTGGATTCTGGGTCTGCAGCTCAGTGGTCCCCAGCTCCTGCGGACCCTCGAAACCATCGTGGATGGTCATCAAGCTAGAAACCAGGGTCCCGCCTCAGACCTCTGGTCAGAAATGGGGTGGGGGCAGGGGACAAGGGGAATTCTGGTAACGTAATGTGGCTGCACAGAAGCCCCTCCCTTCTGGGTGAGGCCTTTGAAATGAGTCCAGGCAGTCAACACTGAAACAACTTCCGTCTGCATGGACGCTTTTTCATCATCTCTATTAGAAATGTACCACAACCACTTTCCAGGCGTGACAGGGCAGGCAGACACACAGCATGAACTTGTCCGTGAACTCTACCAAATTCCCCCCGGGGAAATAAAGCTACTGCCCGCCCCAGCCGCTGCCTGGGCCAGGCCTGACAACTGGGGCCAAGGCGGGGAGGCCTGTTTGCAGGGCAGGCGGGGGCAGTCCTCGCCCCGGAGCTGGACCCCTCTGACCCAGGAACGTTGCTCCCACCCACCCTACCAGGGAGGCGCCCTGCCCTTGACCTCCGGTGGCATTTAAGTGCCTTAGGGGATTTCTGTGTGGATCTAACAAACAGAAGAGAAAACTGATTCTGCTGTTCCAGCCCTTTTCCTTTACTGTCCTTTTTTTTTTTTTTGACCTTCCAGGGAGGGACCTGCATTTCCCACGAGCAGAGACCACGCAGGTGCCGTGGGCGGAGCAGGGAGAGCCCTCGGAAGCGCGGGGTCCGGTCCTCCGCCTGCTGGGGAGTACAAGCGGCCGCGCCATGTCATCCACCCTCACCGCGGCTCTGTCTCGGCCCCAGGAGGGCTGGCGACCTGCAGTGAGACACTCACGAGCTTAAGGTGGGAAGCAACGCACAGGCGCGGAGCAGGGGTCACAGCTCAGCCACACTCTGCACGCGCCCAGCAGCCCTGATGAAACCTCACAGCAGCCGGCTCTCACTTGCGTGGGCCAGACATGTTTCCCCTGCACTTCCCATCAGCTTTCTACGACACGTATTCTGCCCTGTCATGCTAACAGGAAATGGGGGCCCCAAGACATCAAATAACTTGTGCCAAGAAGCAGAGCCGGAACGTGGCCGAGCGGATTCAAACCCAGGTCTGCCTGGCCCACAGCCCACTCTTCCGCTCTGCCACACCGGCCCGTCTCAGCCCTAAAAATAGCTGGCCTCGCCAAAGGCCAAGGGGCCTACGCTCCAGGTTTTCAAAGCTCCATTTCAGGGGCAGGTCAGCTCTACCTTCTGTTTCGCAAGACTTTTAATTCCAAGACCTGTGGTCAACCATGGAGGGCAGCCACTTACCAACCTCACGCTATTTTAACTATTTCAAAATTGGTGGTTGAGATGTGGGCAACTCCAGAGTGGTTTTAGAAGGAGCGGCAGCCACCAGCAGACGTCTGGTGATGTCACTCTGGCGGGTGAGAACCATAAATGCTGAGGCCGCGGTGGCCCTGGGACCCTCAGGGGACAGCCCGAGGGCAGGGAGGGCATCCGTTTTTAGTGCCCCTTAGGTGGCCTTGAAGCCTTTTGTTCAATTTACCCGGATAACCCTATGCGGCACGATTACCGCCACCCCGGTCGTCTCTGGAATAGAGGGGAGTTCAGAGGGGCGAGAGGGCTTTCCCGAGGTCACGCAGTGGCTGAGAGGTGGGGCGGGGGCCAGGCCCGCCCGCTGCTCCCTGCACGGGCTGCCTCCCCGCGCCTGGCCACCTGCGGGAGGGGGACCTGCCCGCCCTTCAAGGGCCGTAGGTCAACCTGGCACAGAGAAGAAACAGGCAGCAAAGCCTCGCGTTCCAGCACGAAGTGTGAGCGGACTTCCATCGTCCCTCCTTCTGGGCTCCTCAGCTCGTGTGGGCCACGTTTAAAAACAAATTCTTCCCCTTATAAGTCTTTGAGATAATGGGCTGACCCAGCAACGCCAACAGCAGTCAATGCGTTTTTTGGCTCCTTGCCATCGTCCCCATCCCTCACCTCCTGTGCCACGGTGACCCCACGTAGTTATCTTTAAGGGGTTTTCATCCACCGCGACCATAAATTTTCTGACGCTCAGGATGCTGGGCCATCGGGAGCCGCTCTGTGCTGACCTAGCTGAGGTTACTAACACAAATCTCCCCCCTTGCAAACACACCTGAAGCTCCTTGGTAACGGCCACCGGCTGGCGCCCCCAGGGCTCCCCGGGACAGCGGCGCGGGCAGGCTGCAGGAGCAGGCCCTCCCAAACACACGCTGGCTGGCTGGCGGGCGGCTCCAGGCCACCCTGAGCGGAGAGTTTCCTCCTAGAGGCCAGCAAGTAGTTGAGGGCCATTATTTTTCTTTTGCCAAAAACATATTTAAAATAGGAACCTAAAATAAATAGCTTGGGAATCAAGTTTCTGGAAAGAACCCAAACCAGGGCTATCAGCTTTTATTTACAGAATTGTGAAAGCTGTACTTCTAAAAAGAGCTCGCTCTCCCACCTCCCCCCCCACACCGCTGCCACCCTGTTCGAAGTCTTGTTCTTATTAATGATCCAGTCCCAAGAATCTTTGCTGTGGGAGGGACTCGGGAAAATGGGATCGGAGCCACTGAGACCACCGACGAGACCCTCTCTCTTCCCCATTCTAACCCCGCTGGCCTCCATTGAGCCACACCTCCCTGCACAAAAGTCACGCTGTCCCCCAAGCCACTCAGGGGGATGAAATGATAGACTCTTGCAGGGGAAGGCTCAGTGCACGTAGTTCAAGCAAAAACCATTGGGTCCAAAAAGAACAAGAGGGGGCCCCTTCACTCCTAGTCAACAGGCCACAGCACAGCTGGGAAGGCAGCCACCGACCCAGTGCTGCCCAGGGACAGGAGGGGACCCACAGCCAGTGCTACCACCTTCACCTCCATCTCGAGCATTTCACTCATTAACTCCAGCCTTGTTACAGGGTGTGACTCTCCTGTTGGAGGGGGAAGCAGAGATGCATGTGATCAGTGATGTCTAGGGCGAGATGCACTGATTATGTGCTGCTGGCCTGCAGGTTGCCAGGCAAAGCGCTGGGTGCCGAGCGATCCAAGATGCCAACTAGGAGGCATCTGAGCTGGGATTCCAAGGTCGAGCAGGAATTTCCAGAAAAGCAGCAGGACCAGGAAGGTACCCACCACAGGGACACATGAAGGGGTCCCCTGTGTTTGGGGCCATGAACACTTTCTTGGTTTTAAAGCACCTGACTGCTTCCCGCTCCCAACTCTTGAAACTCTCTCAGGGCCGCCCAGGCTCATGTCCCATCCTGCTCAGGGCCACCCGTGCCCACTCCTGGGTCTTCTCAGGTGGAAGAGGACGCGGTCCAGGGTCCTTCTCTTTGCAGACAAGGAAACCGGAGCTCAGGAGGCGCTGACTGGCTCAGGTTCACACAGCTCGTGTGCAGCGGAGCCGGAACAAGGATGCGTGTGTGCTGAGGCCCCGTCCTCCGGGGGTCTTCCTCCCCCACGAGGAGCCGCTCTTCATTCGCCCTTCACAGTGCCACCACCTCAGCTCCCGGTGAACACAAGCATGTGGCGGCCTGTAGTCCTCACCCCACCGTACACATGTGTAACATGAACACCAGGTACCACAGCTGGAGGGGACAGGGTAGGCAGGTGCGTGGGCAGGCAGCCAAGGGCTGCCCTGACTGGGACCCTGCAACCCCCTGCTCCTGGCCAGACCACTTGGCTTCGTCACCTGCCATTTCCTGCGCGTTCTCCAATGCGCCGTGCTCCTTTCTACCTTCCAAACTTCATCCTGACTCGTTTCCGTGAAGTCTCTCCTGGGGCACCCCGTTGACCTTACGGAACCCTCAGTTCCAGGGGCGTTATCCCAGGCTGGTATCTAGGCAGGTGACTTGCTGCACAGACAGGAACAATGGAATCATCAAGGTCAAGGTCAGGGGGGACTATCAGAGTGTGAAAACTTTTGACTGTGATTCCCGCACATGCTTGGATCCTGCCCTACATCAATGACAAAATATGACAGTTGGAAGCCTGGGTATGTAACACAACTCCGACTCCTCCACAGAAGCTGTGTGCTGTGCGGAGGAAGTCCACTCAGAAGGGAAGTAAGAGGGGGAGGAAATGGTGAAGTCTTCTAACGTTGGTCCCTGTCCCTTTAGACTGCAGGCTCAGAGCACAGAGACACGTCCTTCATTTACCCAGCCGGTATTTCCTGAGTGCCCACTGTCCATCAAGAACATTCCCGGACACTGAAGGGTAAAATCCAATTCCGCGGACACCGATTCTGCAGCAGAGCCTCTGCCCTTGGGGAACAGACAGCGAGTAA